AATGACCAAGAGTGGGGTAACCATGCACATATCAAGCAGTGGGTCATAAGTATCCTTAGAGAGTTATCCTCATTATCACCGGATGGTCTACAAGGTGCATATTTTTTTTCTTTTTTTCTGTGGGTATGTTTGGGTGTTGGCAGCGCTCAGTAAACGCTAATTTATCTACTCACTCTATCCTTCTCTTTTCAACTGCAGGCACTCTCTTGAATGAACTAGAGAAATATGGAGACCTCAAGAAACAAGAACTATATAGGAAGTGTCTTCAAGGGCCAATGACCCAGCATCCCTTCACCATCACACATCCCCCATCTACATCCTCATATTTGCTTGACCGTGCACAAAATAGACCTAATGTTGAGGACAGTCTACGGCAACTAAAGAGTCGGCGGATGGAGGTTGGAAACAACCAAGGATTCTACATCCAACAGTATGCAAAAGCAAGTCCTCAAGCAAGCGATGACAAGCTGTTCTTGCTGATGGACAAGGTGAAAGAGTTCCTGGATAGCGATCAGAAAGTGCTACTTGTCCAAGGAGATTCAGGAGCAGGCAAGTCCACATTCAATCGCACTCTGGAGCGCACACTCTGGGAGACATACCAGAATAGACATGGTCGGATCCCACTGTTTATCAACCTCCCAGCCATCGACAAGCCAGAGAAGGATCTGGTTGCAAAGCAACTGCGACACTACGACTTTACAGACTCACAGATCAAGGAGCTGAAGAAGAGTCGGTCATTTATCCTGATCTGCGATGGATATGATGAGAGCATGCAGACCACCAATCTGTATGTCTTCAATCAACTGAATAAGCCTGGAGAGTGGATGGCTCAGATGGTGATTAGCTGTCGCAGTGAGTACCTTGGATTAGACTATCGAGATCGGTTCCAGCCTATGGACCGCAATCACCAAGCAGATGCTGGATTGTTTGAAGAGGCTGTGATCATGCCATTCTCTGAGACACAGATCGATGACTATATCGAACAATATGTTGATGCCATGGACCCACTGTGGCATGTGGAGGACTACCGACGTGCACTCAAACAGATCCCTAGTCTACAAGGCCTTGTGAAGAACCCATTCATTCTATCGATGTCGCTTGAAGTACTCCCGCGAATGGTAGATCCGGATCAAGGGCCCTCCAACACCAAGGTCAAACGCGTGACACTGTATGACCAGTTCGTTGAGCAGTGGCTCGAACGAGGCAAGAAGCGACTAAACGATGCATTAGGACTGGAAGACAGAAGAATGTACCACAAACTATTGGATGAAGGGTTTGCACAGAATGGGATCAGATATCTCACCGAGCTAGCCATAGCAATCTACAAACATCAAGATGGCAACCCGGTAGTTGACTACTCACCATCCAAGGATAAGGGTACGTGGAAGGAAGCGTACTTCAGCAAAGAGAATGGAAGGAACCTTCTACGCGAGGCTTCACCACTTACTCGTACAGGCAACCAGCATCGGTTTATGCATCGCTCACTCCTAGAGTACAGCCTAGTGCGAGCGATCTTTGAGCCACAACCAGCAACGAGTGCTTCAGCAAAGGATAAAGGAAAAGCGGCAACCTCGACTTCACGCCGACAAAGTATTAGTTCAGTGTATAGTTTCGAAGGCATAGATACCAATGAGGTGGAGCAAGGGGTTGACTCAACCAAAGTCGATGAGACATCACCTTTAGTATGGAGAAGCCTTGTAGATGAGCTATCGATCATTCAGTTTCTGGAGGACCGTGTTCGCCTTGAACCAGTGTTCAAAAAACAGCTATATACATATGTGGAACTCTCGAAGGGCGACAGCAAGTGGCGGATAGCGGCAGCCAATGCGATGACAATTTTGGTCCGGGCAGGTGAGTCGTTCATCAAAGCGGACTTGCAAGGTATCCAAATCCCAGGAGCAGACCTCAGCTACGGTATGTTTGAGTTCGCTCAGTTACAAAGAGCAGATTTAAGAAAGGTCAACTTACAGAATTGTTGGCTCCGTGAAGCAAACTTGAGCGGAGCAAAGATGGCAGGTGTTCAGTTTGGAGAATGGCCACTTCTCGAAGAAAGCGGCAGGGTATTGAGAGGGTCATATTCTCCTGATGGCAGAACACTTGCTGCAATTATCGATAATGGGCCAGGCGGCAGCGCAATTGTCGTATATAATACATCAACATGGAAGAAGCTTTTGGTTCTGGAGGGCCGTGAGGTCGGCGACAGGCTTATATACTCACCAGACAGTCGACATGCCGCCTCCTGGAGCCACCTTAAAGATGCTGTGTCTATATGGGATACAAAATCAAGAGCATTGGTTCACAGATTAATGACCTATGCAGACTATGTCTATTGTGTAGTGTACTCTCCAAGCGGGAACAGTCTTGCCTCAGCAAGCAGTGATGGGTCAGTGCGAGTGTGGGACACCCAATCAGGCATACTCAAATACATGTTAAAGGGCCATACTGGTGCTGTGAGAAGTATGGCATATTCGGCCAGTGGGCTCCAGATTGCAACTGGCGGCGATGACAAGATACTACGGCTGTGGGATGCGGTGTCAGGACAACAGACACTGATATTGGAAGGCCATGAGTCAATGATTGAGCAAATTCTGTATTCACCTAATGGCCGAGAAATCATATCTCGTTGCTATAAGGATTGTTGCCTATACGTGTGGGATGTCGTATCTCGTCAAAAGAAATTTCTCTTGAGTCATAGCCACGAGGTCAGAGGTATCCATTTATCACCTGACGGAAAATTCGCTGCTTCGTTCGCCAGGATGACAGCGTTTCAATGGAATATACAAATAGGAAAGCGCATTCATACTCTTGAAGGACACTCTGCTAGTATCATGGACCTGAAATATTCGCCAAATGGAGAACAACTGGCAACCTACAGTAGGGACAGAACAATACGGCTTTGGGATGCAAGGTCTGGGCAACTCATAAATACCTTCTATGGCCACTCTGATTTTATAAACTGTGTAGCATATTCACCAAACAGCTACCAAGTTGCATCCTTCAGCGGAGACAAAACAATACGCCTTTGGGATACTCGATTACAGCAATCTTACCACGGCTCACAGAGCCATCTGAATCCTGTCTACCGTGTTATTATTTCGCCGTGTGGACAGCAGATAGCCTCAAGTAGTAGTGATGGAACAGTACGTATATGGGATACATGGACAGGACAGCTCATTCATGTTTTGCAAAGCTACGGTGGATACACAACCGAGATGAAGTATTCATCTGATGGTCAGTTGCTTGTCTCTTGCCATTATCCTTATTCCCACGCAACTCCGTGTGTCTACCTTTGGGATGCTCGAACAGGGCAAGCCGTTCATACCTTGGAGGCACAAGGCGAACAAGGCGATAACATCTGGACATTTGATATCTCACCCATTGGCCACCAAATTGCCTGTGGTCATATATCTGGACAGGTCACTGTATGGGATGCACGAACTGGGGAGCTCAATCACACTCTACGGGGGCATAATGCAACTGTAAGGTGTGTAGCATTCTCGCCCGATGGTCACTACATTGCTTCCTATGATGGGAATGGCACCCTCAGAGTCTGGTCAGCCCAGTCAGGAGACCTTCAATATGAAATAAAGGATGAGACAAGAGTCGGCTATTATTTCGGATACACGCCTGATAGTCGAAAGATAGTGATATATCGTGGCCACAACTCTGATGGCCTTCAAGTACGGGACGCAGGAACGGGCGGGCTTCGCTACATAACTCAATTTGGGCAGTATGGAGGAGGAGGAGGGCCATTCTCACCATGTAGTCGATGGATGACTGACGTGTGTCCAGATTGGCGAGTTAATATGATAGATATGGAATCGGGAGCAGTATCGCATGCACTCTTTGGGCACACCGAGAAGATCACTGAGATAGCCTATTCGTCTGATGGAAAGTACATTGCCTCGGGTAGTGAAGACATGACAGTGCGAGTATGGGATCCGGAGACAGGTCAATGTCTGGTTAAAATCCTATCTGAAGGCGGATATGTTAAAACACTTGTATGGGCTGCCGCTGAAGAAGGCTATTACTTACTGGTCACAGGATGTACAGATGGCTCTCTTAAGATGTGGCAGATTGTGAAGGGGAACGATCAGTATCAGTACCGCTTGAAATGGAGCACTAGACAAACGACTCTTAATGCTCGCAACATGCGTATTCAAGATGTAAGTGGGTTGGGTGAAGTCAACAGGAAGCTCCTGGAGCAACGAGGAGCTATGGGCGAGCAATCCCTTTCTTTGATCGTACAGGAAGCATATAAACAGATTGCAGTGGCTCCATCTAAGCCATCCAACCTTGAAGCTCCTTCTAGTCAAGTGAGTTATCATCAAGACCCAGTAGAAGCAGCTTCAGAGACAATGACTTCGAGAGAAGGGTTACCGTTGACAACGGTAGCATCAAGTAGATCGATCAAAGACTATCAGTTCAAGTACAGTGTGTGCAACGAATGCAACTTCGCACATGTCATTTTATGCAGACCTCGCGATGACTAAAGGGATCAGTAAACAACATGGCACTGAAGTTTATGAATTGGAAGGATATTTATTGATTAATCATCATATAAAAATCGAATAGCTTTGTACATGTCTTTTGCATGGATGACTTGACACGTTAAGTTTGATATTGCGTGATATCAACCATTGCTTTTTTATTCAATACTTCAACTAATGAATGACTTTAATAGGAAAGAAAAGAATAGATTGAGCTCCTCCAATTTAGACCGACATACTCCATACAGTGTATCGTACTGATGTACTGAACATATGAACTTGAAGTTTTTTTCACTTAAACATCGGTAAAAAAAAAAAAAAAAAAAAAAAGTAAAAACTTATCGATTTTTACTGAAAAAACCAGTACATCAGAACGATAGACTGCCCCCATAGGCGATATTTCGCCCAAAACTTTTCCACGTGACTATTGTCCAATTGTATTGATCACATGACAAAGTCGTTTTTTCTCCTTTTTTTGTTGCATTCAAGGAACTTCATCACTCTTTCTTTGCATCCTTTCGGCTTTGCATCGCCATACACATTCGAAGTATTGACGAAACACAGCAGCATTGGATATGACCTCCTTTTACGACGAAATCGAGATCGAGGCATGTTTCTCTCTCTCCTCTCAATTTTTTTTTTGTGCATTTAATTTCCCTGTTTACAATCAAAATTTATTTCGCAGCATTCATGCAACATGAATTCACCTCAAACCCAAATCAACTTTTTCACTTCTTTATACATCCTCATTATTATTATTATTATTAAGAATAGTTACTTATTTTTACCCTTTTGTATTTTATTTTTCATTTTTATAGGATTTTGAGTATGATGAGGATGAAGACATCTACTTTTATCCTTGTCCATGTGGAGACCGTTTCCAGATCACAAAGGAGGAGCTTCAGGACGGTGAGGATATTGCAAGATGTCCGAGCTGCTCGCTCCTGATTCGGGTCATCTACGATCCAGATGATTTCGCAGGCGAGGATGATGAAGAGAGTACGTTTATTCTGACCAAAGCAACAGATACACTCCCAGAGCCAGTTGCTGCTTAAAAAAAGTTTCTTCTCTTCCCTCCTCTCTTCTCCTCTCTTCCTTTTCTCTAGTATATTAATATAGTAATGCAAAAAAAAAAAAAAAAAGAAAGGAATAGTAGCCATCTTATCCTTCAATAGCATACTCAAATCATCAGCATATCAAGCAATAAAAAAAAACGTTTAAATTCCAATCTTGATTTGTGCTTTGCCCAAACGCAGCCTCCTTCCGCAGCCAGTTAAAAAAAAAAAAAAAAAATGTTGTGGCTTCGTTGGATCACAGAAACAGTCCAATCCTGCTCCACGTCTCTTGAACAAGGGGGACATTGCATGTAAACTCTTTCCTTCTCAGTCGGCCGACATTATAAAATCATGGACATTGACAGCATTTTCAAGGTATTAGAAAAAGAAAAGCTCGGGAATTTACCAGATTTGAAATAATTCTCGTCTTCATCGTTACCAACATCACCATCGTTGCTCGAATCCAAAAATAATAAAAGGTTGAAAAGTGATGGAACCTAAGAAATAAAAAAAAAAAAATTCACAACAAGGAGATTAATCTCTATCTGCTTTAATAGACACCGACAGCGCCTGCCAGTAAAGCTGGAACAAAGCGTAAACTTCTGTCTCCTGAGGAGCTATATCGAAAGAATGCGCGCCATGCCAGTTATGAGGAGCTTACAGGACGAAGTTTTGAAGTACCTGACAATGGTGAAGGATCATCATCATCGAAAAGACGTACTACTGTCTCTATAGAGGATGAAGATGAAGGGAGAGGTGAATCAATGGCTAAATATGAGGGAGTTGCAAATCCCGAAGAAGAAGATGAAGACGGACGATTCTTTGGTGATGGACTGACAAGGGATCAAAAGGATATTTTGGACTATGTGGATGAAATCGATCCTGAAGAGGTAAATAAGGATAACGATAATGATAATAATAATAATAATAATAATAATAAAAAGTCTTTAAAAAGAGATCGAAAAAGAAAAAAAATGAGGAAATAACTTTTAATTAATTGCCCTAATATGTTAATACTTTATTCTGCGGTTTCTTGTATTTAAATTTGTAGGAAAAATTTGATCTCTCGTCAGTGCGCAAAATGATTCTCAAGTTTGAAAAGGCGATCAGCAAAAACCAGGAAATGCGTGTAAAATACCCAGATGATCCAACCAAGTAAGTCTTTTTTTAAAAAAAAAAAAAAAAAAAAAAAAAAAGGAGTTACCCCCATGAGATATTTTTTTTCCCCTATTGTAAGATAATACCTAATGTAGTATTTGTATCTTCCTAGATTTATGGAGTCAGAAACGGACCTTGATGAGGAAATTAAACGTCTTATGGCCATGACACAAGCTCCTCATTACTACCCTGTTCTAATCGAACTGGGCACTACATCATCTATTCTCTCACTTCTTTCTCATGAAAACCCGGATATTTCAATTGACACGATTGAACTTCTTAAGGAACTAACGGATGAAGAAGTGTTGAACGTAGAACAAGAACAGGATCAAGAAGAGGATGAAGGCGAAAGAGGGATGAAGCTCTTTGTGGACCATTTAGTTGACCAAGGATTATTGGATCTGTTGGTTCAGAATTTAAATCGACTGGATGAAGAAGAAACAAATGACCGACAGGGTGTTTTCAACATATTGGCAATTTTTGAAAATTTGACATCAATCGATCCTTCCATGTCGGATAAAATCGTAGCCAAGAGTCAACTCCTACCTTGGATTATCAATCGATTGAAAGTCAAAGCATTCGATTCAAATAAGCAATATTGTAGCGAGCTCTTGGCGATCCTATTGCAAAATAGCTCAGGTAAAAAATCTAAATTGCCTTTTTTGTTTTTCCTTGCGACCGAGGACAATTAACGATGATACTAAAAATATATACCTCGTTATTCCAAAATCATATCTGCGCTATTATCGTATGGAATCGACCCTATTTTAAATTTTTACAGAAAACAGAATGGCTCTTGGAAAGCAAGGTGGTATTGACGACTTACTGCAGTTACTGGCAGTGTATAAGCGCAAGGATCCAAAGGACCCTGATGAAATCGAAATGATGGAGAACTTATTTGACGGATTATGTTCTGCTCTGGCGGAGAAAGAGAATAAGAGATTGTTTTTGGAAGGTGAAGGGATTGAACTGATGGTGATCATGATCAAGGAGAAAAAGATGGCCCGTATCAAGGCAGTTAAGGTATTGGACTATGCCATGTCGACTAAATCAGGCACAGCCAATTGTTTACGTTTTGTTGAGATTATGGGCCTCAAGACTTTGTTCTCCATCTTTTCACGAAAGGTAAAAAAAAAAAAATGGGAATTGCATTAGTCAAGCTTTTTTTTTTTTTTTTTTTCCTTTTGGCTGAAAATTGCTTTCTTTTAACATTAAACAGGGTGTAGACAAGCTCAAGAAAGCCTATAAATCTTTCTCAGAAGTTGAAGAAGAGGAGCATATTATTGGCATCATGGCATCACTGGTCCGTAACCTACCATTGGAATCAGGACACAGACTGCGAGTGGTTCGTAAATTTGTGGAGGACGACTATGCTAAATTGGAACGACTCTTGGATTTGCGGGAGGGCTATGAAGCCCGGTTGAAAGCATTGGATGAAAAGATTGAACAGGAGAACAAGGAACAAGAGCTTGATGAAGAAGGGATTGCAGAGATGGAACCTCTCCGAGCGCTGGAACGTCTCGATGCAGGACTGTATATGATGCAATTGATCGATTTAATCTTGGCACATTTGTGTGCAGAGAACTTGGACCTAGACGAAGAGACTGAAGCCAAGAAGGAAGGTGATGAAAGCGAAATTAAGATCAGGATTAGAACACTTTTGAACAGGAGAGGTCAATCTTTGGATGATATTAGGCAGAACTTGCAAGGTAAAAAAAAAAAAAAAAAAAAAAAAAAAAAGTGGTTAAAAGCCTGCGTTAACGAATTTACTAATTTCTAGCCTTTATATTTATAATAATTGATAATAGCATATCTGGATGGCCTTGAAGTCAACACAGCCCTAGCAGAGGGAGCACGGACTAAACTCTTATCTCAATCTGGCTCAGGACCTTTGAACGAATCCAATAACAATGAAGCATCATCGGAAGTAGAGGAAGGAGAGGTCACTGCGATCAGCACAGACACAGAACTTACACAAGAGGAGGAGTTGGCGCTCGAGGCATTGGAGGCAAAAGAGTTTGTGCAGTATGTTTTGAATCTCTTAGAATAAACTATGCTTTGTCCCTTCATAAACAAATGCAATTCATATTCCATAATCCATCTTTCATGTAATAATCAATTAATCTTTGTGCGTCAAAGCGTACATACTCCCAAGCCACTGGTTGCTTACTTACAAAGACCATCCATTGCCTTTCCAAACACCATTCTCCTTCCTTCATTCTTGAAAGACATTTCCTCATCGTTTCAACAAGACATCAAGACAGGATAGAGTCCATTTTTTTCTCTTTTTATATCGACAATGTTACCATGGCGTCCGCTCGGGATGCTGGCCTGTGGTCTTACAGTCATATTCCTGTTTATCATTTTACATGGAAATGGCTATGATTTTCCTGTGGTGATTGCGAGATGTTCGGACGAAATCGATTATTGGACTCTCCCTGATAAGACATATCTGGAAATATCGGGTGTTCATGATTTCACTCAAGATGTAGCGTCAGCAGCAGTAACCAATACAAAGGAAGAAAGCAAACACTTTTTGAAAAGAAACAAACCAGCGTTCATGAACCAATGGCATCTAGGATCAAAATCAACAACGCAACAGGAGAAGGCTGACAAAAGTCCCAACAACGAAAAGATGAAAAGAGGAGCAGCAGCGGGGAAAGAAGGAGAAAAAGACGATGAGGAACAATGGATTTGGATGACGAATATTTGGCATGAGATAAGCGAATGTGGACCAGGTTGGTTTTTGTTGATCAGCGATCAGATGACAAGCAGGCTTTTTTTTTCTATTTTTTACTTAAAGTGTTGCTGTGACGTTGCTCTGGCATTAGGCTACCTTCGACAATACAGGAGAAGACTGAGTGATGCACTAAAGAGCGACAAGTCAGCGCGTAAGAACTGTTCCTTTTTTATGTATTTCACTAGATCATTAGTTTTAGAAGAGAAGAGGCGCTTGAAGGACGGATACGAATTAAGCTCCTTTTTTTTTTTTTTTTTTTTTTTTTTTTTTTTTAATTTCTTGACAGCGTGGGAGCTGATGTATGCACACAGATTTCCAGGACCGATCATCCATTCATCATTGTCAAGGCGCCCTCTTCCAAAAGAAGCAGACTCTAAAAGGGACCGAGAATCTATTCGTTTGGCAGTTGTCTACAAACTCGTTGAAGAGGAACGTGTCACATATCATAGTCGCGTCTACCATTTCGGGACATTTCAGAGAAACGGTCCAGAACTGAAAGAAGGTAAAAAACATATATATTCATAAATCCTTAATGGATCATCTTTCTCAATCATCTGCAGACACACCTTTTTATATATAATTTTTATTTTCTTCAATATTAGAGTGTCAAATAAGTGTCAAAGAAACGTGTCATGTCCATGTACCCTTTTTAAGCTTTGACTATATTCTTCCTGGATCGACACCCATTAAGGACTTTAGTCTTGAACATGACACTTTCTTATATTCGAGGTAAGAGTGGAAAGCGGTATGGGAAATGACATAAAGTGCACGGACGATTTTTTCTTATTTCCTTTGCTGAGAGGTGCCTGTGCACACACATGGCGATATTCATGTGAATACCAAATAACGCTTCGTTTCAAATAGATTGGGCGACACGGTCTTGTTTCGATCACTTAAACTGCCACAACTCAAACCTGATGTGACCTCGCCAAGCAATCCATATTCACTTTTATCAGGAGCACAGGGACCCAGTTCAAGTAAGGTGTATAAAATGTGCTTGTATAGACTTTAAAGTATATGCGATTCTGATGATTTCAAATACACAAACAAAAAAAACAAAAAAAAAAAAAAAAAACGGATGTATTCTAGCATGCGAAGAGAAGAGAAATGTACCTTACCGAATGAGCTATTTGGCCACTATTCCTTCTATCTCACCAAGGTAAGGATAGTTTTTTTTTTCCTTCTTGTAAACTATATCTGTGTTTGCATTTTTCGCTGGGTCACACATTTTGCCCATGTGTGTATCAATGGCGGACGAATAGAAAGAGAGAAAAGGACATGCATAAATAATGCGAAAAATAGGGGAGAGGCGGAAAGTGGCATAAAAAAAAGAAAAGAAAAGTAATTTGATCAAGCAAAAAATAATAAACAGTGATTTGTCACAGATTAATATTTGATACCCATCGATCAATTCATTTAGTACTTAATACTTCATTACTTCAATACTTTAATACTTTAATGCTGTAAATAACAAAGTAACTAAATAACTAAACATCATAACGCGTGTCATTTTTATTTTATGAAAATGTGATCATCAAGCGAGGACCTTCACGTTTTAATGGGACAAGTTCAAGAATACCGTCGAACCTGGAAATATCAAGCCACGATCGCCACCGAATCAACCGATCTAAAAACTGGAAACAAAAAATGGCTGTTAGGCAAACCATGGCTCGTAAGGAAGAAAAGGAAGCTGATAATAGTTTAGAGTCCACGTGTCAGATAAGATGTTTTTGCGTGTGGTTTACTTTTTGTACAACCACTAGGTTTTTTTTTTTCCCAGTTTGTGACCAACTATGACAAAAGATAACCCAAGAGAACCAACGACAAGTTTTTTTTAAAAAAAAAAAAAAAAAAAAAAAAAAAAAAAAATAGGCACTTGAATACGATTCCTTGGTCCAAGAAAATGATATGATCAATGATGAGCCCCATACATATGGTGTCTCAATTCAGAAGCCATATCTAAGTAAGATATGGAGAAGATTTAAAAAAAAAAAAAAAAAAAAAATGAAATGATGATAAAAGAAAACTAATATAAAAACAATGTTCGAATAATATATTACTTTCTTCTCTTGCATAGTGCACTCTTTGGATCGAACCTCGGTCCATATCCCGATAAAAAACACGGTGTTGACACTCGAAACCCAACGTGTACGCGTTCTTCAGAAACAAAGTGATCGTACGCGTCGTGAGGCAGAGGCCCTCAAAGATGCATCACCTATTGCAATAAATACTCAACCGCAAAAGAGGGATCAGGAACAGATCATCGTATCATCTCAATCTCAACGGCAAAAACTAAATGAACACCACGAGCCAACATCATCAGAGGAAATTTATAAAGACGAGTTACAATGGGTTGACTATGAAAGTCGTATCAATGCTGGTACTCTTGACTCAACTGATACAGAATATGGTGTCATTAGTGACAAGGCAGATATTTTGGCTCTGAAAACCACGGTAAAATAAGAAGGGAAAAAGTTTTTATCATTACATCCTTACCATGAAAACGGATCAAGCTAAAAAAAAAAAAAAAAAAAAAAAAAAAAAAACATCTTCTTTTCTTTTTTTCTTGTCAATGGTTTTTTTTTTTAGCAAAACGCGATTCTGATTTTGAGACGAGAACTTGATACCATATTAATGCGAGGCATCGGTCCTTGGGGATTGCGGATGGTCATGCACGACAGAGAATACAACGCTCTTGACAGGAGCCGAGAAATGGCTAAAAGAGTAAGAAAGAAATGAAGAAAAAAAAAATCGAGCCCAGGTATGTCATTGAGATTTTTTTTTTTTAAATCACTAATAGTCTAACGCGCTTTGTGGTCTCTTTGTATAGGATATGCTAGTGATGAAGGTGGTCACTGTTCCAGTGCCAATCTATGAGGACTCTGACCATTCCTTGAGTTTTGATGGAGACGAAGGTGAAGGCGTAGAAGGCGTAGGCAAAGGAGCAGAAACAAGTGATAATACTAATAAAGGCTCCCATGGAGTTCCGTCCAGTGCCCAGACTCCTGAGAGCTCTGAGATGGAAGAGAAGAGAGCACTTAAGCCTAAGAAGACTGAATTGCACAATGTTCTGGGTAAGCTCTTTGAAGAAAAAGAAGAAGAAAAAAAGATGGAGACAGAGGTTACCCTGATCTACCCCAAACTCAGCTGGTTTCCATCTTTGGATCTTCATAGAACATTTTTAAGCTAACGTTACTAAATGCTCACATGTCGACGTCTTTTGATGATCTTTTTTGTGGTTTCTCTAACCCCTTGAATGATACAAATGTTGCCCCGTGAAATACACTAATGTTTTTTTTTTTTTTTTTTTTTTAGTGTCAGTCTATGGATCCGGAAAGCTATTCATACATGACTTGGATCGGGCTACAGAAACAAAGATGATGATCATGTTCATAGAAGAGAAATACCCCGTCGTAATTGGTAAAAAACAAACAAACAAACAAACAAACAGAACATCCTTCCTTGTGACATCAATTTTTCTAAAAAAAAAAAAAAAAAAAAAAAGATTATCCGACACCGACAAAGAAGAGGATTCATAAAAAAAAGATTGACTGACCTGCATTAACAACGTCGTTATTTTTACTTTTTTTTTTTTTTTTTTTTTTTTCCATTTTATAGGCATGTTAGCAGTGGTCATTGCGTTTGTGATTAATGAGACTCGTTGAAAGTGTAAATGAAAGAGAAGTGCTAATCTAAAGAAAATTGAGAGAAAGTGAAAGAGAAAGAGAGTAGGAAGAGAGGGAGACCTTGCTAGTTACCAGTTACTCTAGAGTGGGAT